CTCCCACCAATCCACGAGGTTGTTGCTGTTAAAAATCTCCATTTTAGAGATGAACAAACCAAGGCTTATAGGGTTAAGTGACTTGCCCAGGATTGCACAGTTAGCAAGCATCAAACATTCCTGTCTCCAAGTCCTGAACTCTACCTATGTTGCCACAACACTCATAAATTAGCAAAGCTTTAGAAGCTAGGATCACTGCCTCTTACCAACTAGCTGGAGAAGAGAGCTTTGATAGCATTTGCTGGTCACATCTTCAGGTTTGAACGGTGGTTCTACTGCTTAATAGCTCTGGAACCCTGGGCAAATCATTTCACCACTGTTGGCCTCGTTTTCCTCATCTACAATATGGGGATAACCATATCTGCAGCCCTTATGTCCCAGGGTCATTGGGAAGGAAGCTCTTTGTAAACCACAAAGCTCCATTCCAAGGTAAGTTCTAGTTTTCATTCTCCCTACATCAGGTGGCTTCTTATCTCCATGGAAAACTTCATTTGAACAGGTCACTCCTCTGGGGACGTCCAAATGACTAAAGTGATATTAATATGTCAAGGCAACAAGAGCTCACACAGTTGCCAGAACTAGAGTGAGCTCGTTTCCCAGCACTGCCTGCCGCGGCAGGCTGAGCAAGGCAGAATGAATTCATGACCTCGTAGTTGTGGGAGCTTATGTTTATTTATAATTCTCAGGATCCCCATAAGCACAACTGCTCCAAATGGAAGGATGCATTTTTATAATGTCCCTTTCTTCATTAAGATTTCATTACCCACCTATGTTAAAAAGCCTCGCCCTTCACTTGGAGGGGTCGGCCTCCACCTTGGACAGCTCCTGCATTCTTTTCCTAATCTCAAACTGGCTGCTTTCATCGCACACCACATTTATGCATTACTGAATTCTGCACATCCATGATTTATGAATGCAAGTTTCTGGACACAATTGGATGGTAAGAGAAAGACATTGTTGGGAACATTAGCAGGAAAACCATTTAAAATGCAGACATGGTAAGATAAGAAGCCACACCAAAAGGTGTGTGGATGGAGTACTGGATGGATGCAAAAACATTTACTTAATGTGTGGTAAGTGGTTCTCCTTTGGGCTATCTGTGGAAACCAAGGCTTTGAATAATCTGATAAGTCACAAAGTGAATTGGAATTTAACATAAATCATAAGACATTTATTAAGTGCTTACTATAAGCAGAGAACTGGACTAGGCACTGGGAAACATACAAATTTAGAGAAGATATAGCATCATCTCTCACAGAGCTTGCTGTCTAATAGACAAATATGATAGAGCTCCCTGATCAATGTGATAAACTTGCCAGGAGGGTACATCTTTTGTGAAACTTTTGATACATAAGAGAGAGGGCATTGGGGGAGTTCCCAAGCAAATTGGTGACTTTACAGAGCTGTTAGTCTTTGACTGCATCTCCCTTTAAAGGGTGTGGGCATACGCCTTGGCTCCTCTGGAAGATAGATGTCAATGCCAAGGGATTCTCTCAAGATGTGTTGTCTTGAACTCTTGGAAGAAGAGAATATTCATCTAGAACTCAGGATTTTTTTCCTCCAAAAAGATCCTGAGAATAGCAGCAAGTATGTGTGAATGAGGAAGGGAAAACTGCCCATATGACTCCTCCCCTCATCTGTAGGACCCATAAGGGACTAAAGGTACAAGACAGGGGAACAAAATATTCCTAGAATTTGCTATTGAGTTATTTAGACAGGGCAAGTATAATGGAAGGAAAATTGCTTGTTTAGAAGCTCCACAATGTGCTTTCCTTCTGAGGGGAGTCCAAGACATCAGAAGGGCCTCTATGTGGTGTAATAGGATCACTAGAGTTTCAGAGCGGTGCTAGTCCAGAAGTCGGAATAAATTCCCTTCTAGGAAACCCAGACTACAGGGTAGCACTAGGAGCCTGCTTGGGACTGTATAGAGAATGTTGGACCCAACAGAAAGTGAAGAGAATTGTATTGATTATTCACAATCTTAATCCCTTATTGTGTGTGTTTTTTAATATTTGTTTGGGGACTTTCACATTTTCTGCATGGTGAGATAAAGGTGGAAATGTATCTATCTAACACATACGTTATCTTGAGTGCTTCCATGGAAATTGGAAATCCTCTTATCAGCATTTACATAAACATAGACATAGCAATACACAAGCTCAAGTAACCTTTGGGAGCTGGGGGTGACAGAATGATCCAGAGAGAATAATTTTTAGGTTAGCCCTAAAGGTTGAATCTCATCCTTTAAAATGTAGAGCCAGATTATAACTATGAAAGACATAGATGACTTTAGGTGGGTCTCAGACCTGTGATTTAGTCAGTGTAGGGAACTCCAGGTGAAGAGAGTGCCTCCCCCCATATAGATTGGCAACTGCACTTCAGCTTATAGACTTAGAAACTATTTTATATAAAGCACACTGAAGAGGTGAGAACAACGTGCTTTCCTCCTTGGGAAGGTCATTGTTAACTTAGGGGATCAGGAATTCTTCATGGAGGGGGCAGCACGACAGTAGGGCAGGAAGTAAGTGGGGAAGACAGTTCAGACACAGGTTAAAGATGAGCAAAGGCACACAGCTCTGGAAAAGCAATGGGAAGTTAGGGGCCACAGACAATAGTCCATTTTGTCTAGAGCACACAGTGTCCCCTAAAAACATTTAGAAGGATTAAGTTGAATATTGACTTATACCAAGGTCCCTCAACAAACCCAGGCAACAAACAACAGAAGGAAAGTTTCCGAAGGTTAAGAGCATGTTTGTTGATGACTTTGTGACCCAGGTTTAACTTGCCTAAATCATTGTGGTCTCTGAGCCCAAGACCCCATTCACAGCAGCACAACCTGGCATATGTGACTTCTCCCAATGACACACAGAACAAAGGGAAATCCAAACACATGTACATGGAGAAAGTCACCCAAGAACGCTTACACCCTCTGACTCCACTGCTCCATTGTGAAAAGGGTTTCCTCTCTTCTTTGTGGACTGCAAGCAGCAGCAGCAGCATAGCATGTGGTTGCCTAGGGCAACACCCAAGGGTGGGCCTCTGGCTGCCTTCATCTACTACCTCACAGTGGGAAAGAGGCTTCGGCCATTTTGCTGTCCCTTGAGTTCAGCTCTCCTGGTGTCCTCTGGTGACAACTTTACAAAACTCTTACTCTTCTTTTTCCAATTCCATTAAAATTCTTATTCTGCTTGTTTTCTCCACTTTCCTTCTCTCCTCATCCTCTCTCTCTCTCTCTCTCTCTCTCTCCTCTCTCTCTCTCTCTCTCTCCCTCCCCTTTTCTCTCTCTGTCTCTATCTGCTCCCCTGTCTCTGTCTCTCAATGCAACAATAGTGAGAAATCAAGGTGCTCTGTGATGTGATGATCTGAAATGACTAAGGAAACAAAGGTTCAAGCTTCCAAGCATATTGATTTATTAAGTGATGTATGCTAATTGCACAATGAATTGGGACCAGGCCTCCTCAGCTTGACACTGGACCCAAAATACAGGCAAATACAGATTTTTATATGTTAAAAGAAAACAATTTTAATAAGAGGTAAGCCAGGATACAATTAGGTAATCTGATTTTTAATTGAAGGAACATTTAGGGGCTTTCCAAGTTGGGATGGGGGAGAGTGAACAGCTGTTATTCTCTGAAATCAGCAAAGAGGTATCCCACTCCCACCCCAAATGTCTGTATTCTATCAAAGGCACATAGAGATAGTAACTGATTGACCTAGATAGGTTTTAGATAAGACATACAGGTGGCTTGAGGCGTATAATTGTGAGAAAACTTCTCGCATCAATCTTTGGACCGAGCATGTTTCTGGTCAACATAACCTATGTCCTTTGCTAGGCGTATCTAAGCAGCAGATACAGGTGGTCCAGCTTCTTGACCACACAAGGCTAGGTTTAAAAAAAATTCAATTTCTGTCTCACAAGACAGAAATTGGACTAGACCCAGAATTGAGTCACAAGATGGAGTCAGGGTGGATCACTCAATTCCCACAACTCCTCCATCCCTTTGTTGAAAGGGGAACCATGAACTTGCTGTTTCATGATGATAAGCACAGCACATAGGCGCATTTGAGAACATATGGTCTGTTTCCTAAGTGAGGCTACCTCCTTATCTCTAATGGTAGCTTCATTCAATAAGGCAAAGAAGGAAGAAGGATCTACGTCCCTGACACAGCAGAAGATCAAACTCCTGTTCCATGACATTTCCTTTACTTAAAAAGGTAGATGTAACAACCAGGGATACTTGGCAACACGACTGGTCTGAACGGCTCCAAGACCTATCGCTCCACACTTCCAAGTACTGTCCTCTGCCTCACAGATGAGCAAAATGAAGCTCCATGAGGATGAGGACCCAGGCCCTCCCATGTGCATAAAGCAGACACACTCTTAGGGAAAGCTGCCAATGGATGCCTCTGACAGCCATAACAGCCTAAAAAGCCATCATCTAGATGTTTGTGCTCAAGGCAAGTACCAGAATTGGCAGGAAGCTTGCCCTCACTTGAGGAGCTCGAGGCCCAGGACCCTGGCACGAAGTTCTACTAGGAGATTGTCACATGGTCCCAGTGGAGCTGCTCACTCCAGTCCACCATCTGGCACCTTCCTACTTTGATTCTTCTCATTAACTAAGTGTTAAGCTCTATTGTTTCTATGTTGCTGAAGAAATACAATCGCTGTCAGCACCCCTTCAGTTTGGCCCCCTCTAAATTTGGTGCCTGTGGCAAAATCTTGGCTGCCCTAACTTAGTTATGACTTGGATCTCAGAGACTTGATCCTTAGTACATAAGTAGCCAAGATTAATGCACAAATCATGTTAAACAATACTGAGTTACTCTCCTAGAAATAAGGAGCAACTTCCGTTTGCAAGGTCCATGTTTGTGATCCAGACACTCCCTCTGACATGTGGAACAGTAGGCCTAGAGCCTTCAGCTAATTCTCAACAAAGGCAGTTCTGTGCAATGGACAACCCTGCTCACATGAGAAAAGACAATAGATAGATGAAGTTTACCTTGGAGATTTTGCAACGGCAAAGTCATGATGCCTCCCGCAGCTGCAGCTGCAACCAGCCCTTGGATGTTGGTGAGATTGGCGGTAGGCAGGGTGAGAACCAGTCCTTGTTGACCACCCAGCTGTCCTGCCATGTTGAAAGGAATAAGGATCGGCTGGTTGAGGGCTGGCGTGCCTCCTGGCATTACTCCGGCCACGGCAGAGGCTAGCTGCTGCGCCGTCAGCAGTGGCTACAATGAAACAAACAGGAACAACGGCTTTACCATCACAGGAGGGTCCAAGGAGAGAATGAGGGAGCTCATCCAGTTGGGTCTCAATCTAGTCCTTCCTTTTTTAGCTGCCCAAAACATGTCTGAACATGTCACTTCCTTGCTGAAGAACCTTCAGAAACTCCCTGTTTCCTCTAGCATAAAATATAAACTAAATCCCTTAGCTTGGCATTTGCAATTTTTCCATTCTAACTCCTACCACTTTAGCAGACTTTTTTTTGTGTATGTTCCTCCCTTTCAGACATGCTTCATTCTGGCCAAACTCTTCTATTTGCCATTCCCTGAATTCAACAATCTATCTCCAGTCTCTAAGTCATTGCCACACATTATCTGTTCTGCCAGTAATGCCCTCCCTCCTTACCTTAGACTCTTAGAATCCCTACTTTGTGCCCGATTGCCAGCTCTCTCTCTTCTCTCTCTCTCTCTCTCTCTCTCTCTCTCTCTCTCTCTCTCTCTCTCTCTCTCTCTCTCTCTCTCTCTCTCTCTTTTTCCTCGCTCCCTTCCTCTCTTCTCCCCTCCCCACTCCACATTGTCACGTATAGACCTTCCTTCATCCATGCTAGAGTCTCTCTCAGAGGAATGGGATTTCTTGGTGGGCTGATTGCTTTTTGTTTTGTCTCTGTATACCCAGGGCTCAGTAAGACACTCAGGCATCCAGCAAGTATTTCAAACTTGCCTCTTGGAATGACCTGGTATAGAGCAGGCTCTCCCATAGCCAGTACATGATCTGAGCAAGAGATAACAAAAGGTAGGCTGGCAGAAAGTGTTTGTGAAATGTGAGTATGTGTGTGTGTGTGTGTGCACACATGTGTATGTGTGTGATGTTTAATTCATTGCAAGAGCTAACTAGGCTCCAGGTTGTCTTATGAGGGTCTCAAACCTTTCTAAGTGAGACACCTCAAATTTCTGAAGCTTTATCCTGGCTGCATAGCATATCAGATCAAAAGCCTCCCTTGCAGTCAGGAAAAGCTGTTTCAAATCTGATCTCTGACAGTAGCTGTGCAGCCCTGGACAGGTCCCTTTACCTCTATGTGTCTCAGGCAACTCCCTAGGATTTATCTGCTAAATTACTGACAGGTTGTGATTAGCATCAGTAAAGAGAATTCCCACACTGGGAGTTCTACTACATTGTTGTGATATAATCATATTTGTGGTGCCATTATGTAGACTGCTTGTTTGACCCTGAGTGGGGCTCTAGGCTGTTTTCTCAGACTACAAGTTGCAGAGAAGGTACTGACCTGTATTGGTAAAGGGAGTTTCCTCACCTTGGAGTTCCTTAGACAAGTTTAGATTGATCTAGATCCCTAGATTAGACCTGTGAAATCACAGATCCAGTCCCAATTCTTATCCTAGCATGAAGAAGAGCTGACCTGGGTTGCTCCTGTGAGCAGACCCTGAACAGTCAAAATCACAGGGCAGCAGATTTTGGCTCAGTGTAAGGAGAGCTTTTTAGCAACCACCATCCAACAAGCAGGATGTATTCAAGGTAGGACATGAACCAGATCTTCCTGGTCCTGAAGTCACTTCTTTATCCATTATGTCACATACTGCTATTCTCTACATGATGGCACCACAAATATGATTGTATCACAACAATGTAGTAGAACTCCCAGTGTGGGAATTCTCTTTACTGACGTCATGTTTGGTTGGGGTAGTGGGCTCTGTCACTGCAGGGATGATCATCTCTTCACAATGTGATGAAATAAGTAAGCATTGCTCGGGAAGCCAATTCTTTCTGAGGCCCTTTCCGGTTTGGATATGTTGAGATTCTATGAAATATTTATGATCTCATCTTTATCTTTACCTTCTTTGGAAGCAAGCAGGACAGGCATTATCACCTCCATTTTGCAGATGAAGGAACTGAGGCAGAGAGAGTTTCAGTGACCAACCCCAAGATCACACAGAAACTGAGATCCTTGAGAGCAGGGACTGTTTCTTCCTTTTTTTGTCTTTCTTTGTATCCCCAGAAATTAGTACAGTGCCTGACACATGGTGGGCAATCATGTATGTCTTACTTGATCCAGTACATCAATAGCTGGCCTAGGGCTAGAATTGACATCTTCTCACTTCTAGCCTTCTAATCTATCTCTAAACCAATGATTCTCAACTTCTGGTTCTCACTGCTTGTTCATCTTCATGGGGTTATGGCTGGGAGGAAGCTGGTGTTATCCTAGCTGCTGCTGCCTGGAATGGAAATTGGTCTGGGACATGGCCTTGCCTCTTAATGATTCTTCCCTCTACCAAAAATGCCCCCTTAACTACCACCCAGCTCCATCTTTGGCCAAGACAATCATTACTCATCTTCCATGATGTTTCTTGAGATCCTTAGTGATGCAATTTTGTTGGTGACCTTCACTGAGAAAGCAGAAGTCTTGAAGACTTGAAGATATTTGGATGGGCCTTTGAATTCCTCAAGTCCAACCTCTTCTCTTGACAAATGAGGAGGATCGCCCACTGAGGCAAAAGGAGTTGACCAAAGTCCCCCTGGTTAAGGGGCAGAATGAGGAGTAGCACCTGGACCTTGAGTGCAAAGTCTAGGGCTCCTCCCACTCTACTACACCGTCTTCCTCTGACAGTAAGGTAGCTGGATGGTACCAGAGTCGTGAAGACCTGAGTTTGAATCCAGCCTCAGCTCCTTGCTAGCTGCGTAACCTTGGGCAAGTCCCTTCAGATTTCTCAGCCTTAGTTTCCTCCTGTATAAAAGGAGGATAATAATACCACCAACCTGACAAGGATGCTGTGAGGCTTGAATGAGATAGCATATGTTGAGAAGTTTCAAACCTTAAAGTGCTATATAATTCCACCTATATACTGCCTACCTGCATATTTGATTGACATGACTGATACTTATATTTTCTCCCTACAGGAAGGCATTATTATAAAAAGGTATTATTTCCCATTTAATGGAAGAATGCAAACATGAGGCATAAAACTAATTTCCTTAAATCATAAGTGAATGTAAAGAAAAAGGAAGCTGGGTTTGGGCAGGGAGGTCAGGAAGAGAGTAGAGGAAGCAAGTGACTGGCCAGGAAGCTTAACTTTGATTCCTAGGAAAACTCTAATTGTGGTTGTTGTTGTTCTTTTCTCAAAGACGACCGGTGATATCAGGAGGATGATGTCTTAACTTGCAAATGAGGTGGATTTAAGTGAGGCAGGGCTGTGCAAAGCATCAGCCTCAGTCTCTCCTGAAGTCATCTTAGTCCAGTAGCATGACATACATAGATCAGGATGACTGGAAATGGCCCCAGATGCAGTGGGAGACCTTGGCCTTCTAAAGCTAAGGTCTTTTCCAGGTCTTAGTTTGTTTGAGGCGACACCCATTCAGTGATTTAAGGCTAGGTAAGAATGAGGTTGTTTGAGCATGCCTATTCAAAAAATTCTAAAATATATTAACAAAGGGCTGGTCAGTGAACATACAGAAAAGGAGGCGGTGATCACAAGGAACCATTGTGGCTTCAACTTCCCAACTCCTGGCAGAGAAACAATTTAAGAAGTAGATCAAGACATATGTTTTAGCACATGGCCAATGTGGGGCATTTGTTTTGTGTTAGTATACATATTTGTTATAAGGGTTTTGTTTTTATTTCTCTTTTCCCCCCCTCAGTTGGGGGTGGTGGGAAGGGGTAATAACAAATGCTTTTTAGTTGAAGAAAAAGAAAGAACAATTCATGTTAGATTAACCTGTTGTTGTTGTTCAGCCGTTTTTCAGTCATGCTTGACTCTTTCTGACCCCTTTTGGGGGTCTTCTTGGCAGAGATATTAAAATGATCTGGCATTTCCTTCTCCAGCTCGTTTTACAGATGAGGAAACTGAGAAAACAGGGTAAAGTGACTTGCCCAGGGTCACACAGCTAGTAAATATCTGAAGAAAGATGGGTCTTCCTGACTTCAGGTCAGGCACTCTATCCACTGTGACACCTAGCTGCAGGAAACCAATAACAATAACAATAGCTAGCATTTATAGGGTACTTTATGGTTTGCAAATATTATCCCATTCAATCCTTATGACAACCCTGCAAGGTGAGTGCTTTTATTAGCCTATTTTTTGTTGCTGCTGTTCAGTCTTTTCAGTTGTGTTGTGCCTGACTCTTCATGACCCCATTTGTGGTTGTCTTGGCAAAGATGTTGGAGTGGTTTGCAATGTCTTTCTCAAGCTCATTTTACAGATGAGGAAACTGAGGCAAACAGGGTTAAGGACTCGCTCAGGGTCACATAGCTAATAAGTGTCTAAGGTCATATTTGAACTTAGGTTTTCCTGACTCTAGGCCAGGTGCTCTACCCACCATGCCACCTAACTGCCTTATCCTACTCTTATGGCTGAGGAAACTGATATAGAGACTAAATGATTTGCACAAGGGCCACATTGCTAAGTGAGCATCTATGACTACATTTGGACTCAGGTGTTCCTGACACCAGGCTCAGCACTCTATCAATTGTACCACCCAGTTGCCTTTGTTCTGGGGAATGCTATTGATGTGATTTACCTGGACTTTAGTCAAGTGTCTCACGTTATCTTTCTGGAGTGGGTAGAGGAATGTGGTCTAGACCAGGAGTTGCCAATGTGTGTACTGCCAATCCCATGGGGGTCTAAAAGTATTGCAAGGGTGCTATGAAGCCATGCTGCCTGAAGATGGAATGTCTGCCACCCCTACATGGGACTAGTTGTCAAGTAAATGTTATATAAACACTACTGGGTAGATAGAACACAAGTTCAGATCAAAACAAAAGAAAAAAGCTGTCTTCTAAGTCAGGACCTGGCTGGAGGAGTCTTTGGACACTGGACCCCTGTTTTTGTGACCATGTGTCATGCAGCACCACAAATGTGGCATGATTTGGTGGCGAGTCATGTGGCAAGGTTAGAGTTAGGAACAATGACAAGCATGTTGGAGTTGGCATCACAGGACCTGGGCTAAAAGCTGATTCTGCTACTTACTGCTTATGTGATCACAGGTAACACCTTTCCCTTTGTGAAGGGATCTCTGGCTCCTCACTTGTAAATTGAAGGTATTGGATGGTCTCCCTCAACATTGATGATTCTATGATCCAGAGGTTAGACCAACTGGTCCTGTACCGTCAAACTCAGGCTGCTTCTGTACCATTGAAAATGAGTGGGGCTCTTCCCTAACCTTTAAATGCATGGGCTCTGAAGACCCCAGTAAGCCAAGAGCCATGTCACAGGAGGAGATGCTACAAACAAGGTTGGTAATGATGGGTGCAGCCCAGTCCAGGCCAACCCAATCATAAACCTGAGAATTTTTCAATCCTTGAATTGGTGACCTCCCAATATATGTCAGATGACTAATTTCTAGAAACAGCAATGCTAGTAAAAGGGAAACTCAATGATACTGCTACAGACAGAGTGGAAGTATCTTTCCCCCTTTCTAAGAGTGTGAGGTGAGCACTGAGAGCCCTGAATCAAATGATAAGGGAGAAGAGTCTAGCCTCTTATAACTGTGTTATCGCCACCGACAAAACAAACCAGCAAAAAAGGAAGCCAAACCAAAACCCCATCGCCCTCCCCTCCCCCTAAATATTGGGCTTTAAAAAATCATGACTACATTTCTTTATTAATGCAGGAGCTGCGTATGATGTACAGTATTGTCAAACCCAATAAGCTGCACTTGCATTAAAATTGCATTAACTTTTTCTATTAAATCATGTCATATTTCAAAAACGGCCCTGGGAACACTGAAACAACTCAGTTGCATGCACACCCAGGCCGCTAAAGTTCTACTCTCTGGAAAGCTGTAAAGGAGCTGAGCGGCCCACTTGTGGGGGGCCCAAAGAAAACAAATACAGAGGGCCTTACATCATCCTGAGAGGCATATTTCTTAAAAGAGAGCACATCCCTTCTTCTCCCTTTAATAAATAACGAGGCTCTCATGCAGTTTCCCAAACAATAATTCATCACTAACTTTGCTCCACTGGAGTCAATTGGTTTTCACTCATTACTATTTGTTGATATATTTAGTCTTGCTAGATAGCCCCTCCCCCCAAAGCATGGGAAAGACACTGACCTGGGGCCCGACAGGGAAGGCTGCTGGGTGGGCCTGGGTGGACGGATGTTGATCAGTAGCACTCGTGTCAGCGGGTGGCGGGTTTCCTCTGGCCCCTGGCAATCAAAAGAGAAGCCTTCCCTTAATATCTAGGCTGGAAACTCACCATTTTCCTCTTATTGTGATGTCACAAGACCCAAATCCCAATATAATGGGCCAAAGGGGGCTTATCAATCGCTTCAGGACTCCAGTCATTCTCAGCAGCATCAATTATGCTCACCCTCATTCAGCTTGGCCAACTGATTCAGGAGGCTCCGTGTGCTGACAGCAGGGATACTGCAGCCCTCGACAGCCTGCCTAATGTGGTTTATATTAGACATCATTTTACGCGGAGCACAAGCACTCCCTTCCCAGGTGGGAGCTGCGTTTCTTCAGCTGCGATGAGCAGCCGCATTTCTAATTCCTCAAAGCAAAAAAAATTATTGGAGATGTGAACAAGTCACATCTCCTGGGTCTCTCTTTAATCAAGTGTTCCCCAGGCCTCTCCCCCAACCTGCCTCCCACACAACCCACACTTAGAGTTTAATTCATTACTATGTACAAGTTCTTCAAAAACAAAACCTTCACTAAATGTCACTTCAAACACTTCTCTAAACAGAAGCAGAGAAAAGGATTCTTGAGTGCTAATAGAAACAATCAAGCTGGAAACCAAAGCGTCACCTCAGCCCTGCCATCCTGTGCACAGACTGACTCTCGGGTCTCACTTTTAGCTCCGGGTGTCCCCACTTTCATTTAAAGTACAATCCAGGCTCCACCTCCCACACAAGGCCACTCCTGAACCACCCATGATCAGCATCCAGCTCTTCATCAAATGAAGCATTACCTTGTATAAACTTTGCTTTTATGTTGCATGAACTTATTCGTTCCCATGGTGTATCCATCACAGAAGCAGACTACTGGAGTTAGGCACCTGTGGTGGAGATGGGGTGGGGTTGGGGGCTGGACGGGTGGGGTGATTGCACAGGGACTTAGTTCTAGACTCAGAAGGCACCTTACAGGTAAGTTATCACATCCAACCACCTCATTTTACAGATGAGGAAAATGAGACCCAGAGAGGTTAAGTATCTTGCCTAGGGCCAAACAGCTCATAAGCATCTAAGGCAAAATTTGAAAGGGGGGCAGGGATTTGGGGGGTTTTATTTTTGCATCTTTAGTATTTAGCACAATCAGCCAAGAAGTACTTATTAAATGAATACTATGTGCCAGGAATTATGTTTAGCGCTGAGGATACAAAGAAAGGTGGGAAAAAAGTCTCTGCTCTAAAGAGCTCACAGTCTAATGGAGGAGACAGCCTGCAACCACCTCTGTATAAACAAGATAGAGCCAGGGTAAATTGGAGATAATCCACAGTAGTAAGGCACTGGAATTAAGGGGGATAAAGGAAGATTTAAATGAGATGTGAAGGAAGCCAGGGAGGCCGAGAGGTATAAATGTGGAGGGAGGGAATTCCAGGCATGGGGGGCATCTGGAGAAAATGCTCAGAGTGTTTGCTTTATAAAAGGGGCTTGTAGAGATTTTCGGATTGTATTGGCACCTGGACCAAAATCTTGCCAAAGACGATGATGGCAATATGGCCAAGTCTTTCCCAACTGTGTGTTTTATGTCTGGACAATTCCTAATAAGGATTAAGGGAAGGAAGGAACAGTAATGTGGATAGTGGATAGAGAACCAGTTGTGGAGTCCAAATGTCCTGCTTTGGACACATACTGGTTGTGTTACCCTGGGCAAGCCTCTTAACCTCTCAGAGCCCTAACTGTAGAACAATTTCTTATCTGTAGGGGTAGAAGGGATTTACTCTACTCTGTCCTATGTGAAAGAAGGAAGGAAAGAAGAAAGGAAAGAAGTAAGGAAGAAAGGAATGAAGAAAAAAGAAGGGAGGGAGGAAGGAAAGAATGGAGGAAGAGAGGAAAGAAGGAAGGAAACAAGGAAGGAAAGAGCAATTTTATGACTTCTATTGGCATTTTCTGATGGGTGGTTGGAATCCAATTCGATGTAGACCTGAACAAGCCCTGCTCTCCCACTGTTTGTCCTAGGAATAGCAAGTAGAAGACAATTCAAAACCTGTTTATTGGCACACCATGAACTGCCAAGAAAAAGGGGGGGGCATGATTCCGTCATACTTATAAATTTTAAAGAAGGTATTATCGGCTCATTTAAAACAAATTCTTCTCTATATTCTCTAAAGGGACAGACTTATAAATAATGGAAATGTGGCAAAAAATTCTGCAGCACATTAAACTACAAATAAAATTGAGTGCTACACATTATTCAATTGACTTCTATCTCCACTGCGATGTGTCAATCATAACCGCATTGGATAATGAGATTACGCAATCAGTGAGCCAGGCCATTATGCAGAAACCTGGAAATCTGATTAATTTGTAATATTTCTTGGTGCTGAAAGTCTGAAATGGACATTGCTCAGGGAATACTTACAAGCATTCTATTGAAATTCCTAAATTGATTTGGAACAAACTAATAAAAACACAGACTTGCTGACATTTTATAAAGTGAATTCTGTCAAAGTACGTTTGGCATTTTAATGATTGCCGTCATTTAATAACAAGGGTGAGATGACCTATCATAATAGGCAGAGGTGCCAGCAATTCCCCAGGAAGCTGCAAGAGAAGACCTCGGCTTTCGGGAAATTTTTTTTTTAATGTTTGATTAACTTATTCTTCAAAAACAGGGAGGCTTAGTTATTTTTGAAAAGAATGCACATAACGGGACATTGTGTAAAGCCCCCATCTAAATCCTTTTCTCTCCCACCGTCTTGACCTCTCAAGTTTCTCTGCATTCTCTCTGTGCCTTAAAGAGCCAGCTAGCTATCAAGCACCTTGGACAGATCTTTGCATTCCATGACCACCTCTTACTCCACCCCCTGACAATCAAAACCAGTCCGTTTTTCTTTTTTAAATGCTCTTCTTTTTGCTTTAGTCCATACTTATCTGCTGACTGTCCTTTTAGGAGGAACATGGATGAGCTGGGGAAAATTCAGGGGGAGGCAGCTAGGGTGACAAAGGGCCTTGAGTTGAAGTCATGTAAGGATTCATGAGGAACTTGGCAAGTCAGTGAGGTGCAGTGAAAAGAAAATGTGTTTGGAGTTGAGGCCTAGATTCAAATGTCAGCTTTGCCACACAAATGACTTTGGGTAGATCACAACCTTTCTGGGCCTCAGTTTCCTCATCTGTAAAATGAGGAAGTTTAGACTTGATGACCTCTAAGGCTCCTTTCAGCTTTAGATCAGTGATCTTATGTTGGACCAAGAGAAGATCTCAGGGGTATGTGAAATCTGTTTTCAAGTATTTAAAGGATGGTTGAAAATGAGAATTATTTTAGAGGCAGTTAGGTGGTACAGTGGATAGAGAGCTGAGTACTGAAAGGTTTGAGTTCAGACACTTATAAACGGTCTCACTCTAGGCAAGTCTGTCTACCTCAGTTTCCTCAGCCGTAAAATGGGAATGGTAACAAGAGTATTTATCTCCCAGGATTGTTGTGAGGGTCAATGGAGAGAAAACTTGTAAAAAAGACTTAGCACAGGGCCTGGTACAATAGTAGGTGCTTAACAAATGTTTGTTTTCTTCCTTCTTTTCTTTCTTCCTGATGGTTGTAGAGCACAGAACTTGGAACAATGGTTGCAAGGTGCAAAGAAGTAAATCAGGAAATGTCTGCTTGCCAGAAAGAGGAGCTTCCTGACTACTAGAGCTGTCCCCAAGTGTCATGGCATTTGGGGGAAGTCATAGGATCAAAGGTTTTGAGCTGGAAGGGACCTCAGGAGACTTCTACTGGAATCCACCCCATGATTTTACTGATGAAGAAACTCAGTCATTCAGTAAACATCAGTAAGTACCTACTGCTCAAATTTACACACACACACGGATAGTAAGCCTCACAAACTGGATTTGAATCCAGGCCCTCTGACTCTGGGGCTGTTGCTTTTCCCACTGAGCCATCCATCTTCCCACAAAGGCTGGTAGACCACTTGCCAGGGTAGCTGGACTTGATGCCTGTGAAAGCCCTTCCAGCCGTGCCATTTTATGGCCCTGCCTGGATGTCCTTAGGCTGGTATTCAAAAGGCATGAAGACTTTCCCTAGTACTTTAAAAATCACCAACCTCTCTATGTTTCCACTTTCATCCCACACTATGCCTTGGAGCATGAGTCTCTCATATGTGCGTGTGTGTGTGTGTGTGATGCACACTATATATATATACATACATACATACATATATATAAATAAAATATAAAATATACAGTATGCTATCTATAATACACGCCATATGTGTGTGTATACACACATATCTCTGTATACTCTCTTAACCTCTCTGAACTGCAGGCATAAGTTCGTAGGCTGTAAGTTCCACAAAGATGAAGAGAGAGCTCACACTGTGGATGTCATGCATCATGGAAGCATTTGATGTCTGCCATTGCTCCATTTTGGTCTCTGACTCCCTAGTGCCTAGAACAGTCTCTGACCTTTAGTTGATTCTTAACAAATGTCTCTTGGTTGATTGACTGACAGAGGCAGCCAGGCAGCGAGGTGGATAGAGCTCTGGGCTTGGAGTAAGGAAGATGAGTCTGAGTCTTGCCTCAGACTATCACGGGCTACGTGACTGTAGGCAAATCACGTCACCTCTCTAGGCCTCATTTTCCTCACCTGTAAAATGGGGGTGATAATAGTAGCCACCCCCCAGAGTTGTTGGGAGGGCATGAAATAACATACGTACAGTACTTCATAAACTTTGAAGCAATATACGAGGTGTCCCAAAAGTCTTAATACAAGTATGAGTTTTTATTGTTCTCCTCGTTACATAAAACAGATATTTTAGTGAATATTTTTACGTGCCAGGCACTATTAGGTGCTAAAACAAAAACAAAGCTGTCCTTACCCTCAAAAAGCTTACTTTCTTTGAAGAGAAATCATAATTAGCACATTATTAATTAATATCATTAAATATTATATTATATGCATGTGTGTGCACACATAAATACATGCCTAATCAAGTCCATGTACTATATGTACATGTGGTACGTGTGAGTGTGCAATTCACGTTATG